TGTGTGTGTGTATCTGTGTGCGTGTGTGTGTGTGTGTACCTGTGTGTGGTTGTGTGCGTCTGTGCCTGTGTGTTTGATTGTGTGTGTGTGGTTGTGTCTGTCTTTGCGTGTCTAACTATGTCCTTTTGTGCGTGTGTCTGTGTGTAAACTCGACTGGCACAGACGAAAGTGATTATAGTCCTATAACAGTTATGGGGAATGTTACTGTGTGTGTGTGCTTGTGTTAGTCTGTGCCAGTATACACACTCAAAGACACACACACGGAAAAAGGCACAAACACACAGAAACACATGCTCATGAAAACACGGGCATGGGTTGAGTCTGTGTTCGTGTGTGGTACACAAATAACATACAAACACGGACACAGACTGTGTCAGTGTGACCGTATGTGTCTGTGTGCGTGTGTCGTTGAATGTGTCTGTGTGTGGCAGGCAAGGCAAAGGTGCATGCAGGCCTTAAACACTTTTGGGACCACTTTCAGGCCTCTGTCTTTATATGTTTGTCTGTGTGTCTGTGTTTGTGTGTGTGGCCGTCTGTGTGTGCGCGGTTGTGTGTGTCTGTCTGTATGTCTGTGCACCTGTGTGTGCGTGTGTGTGTGTGTGTCTGTGTCTGTGTGTATCTGTGCGTGTGTGTGTGTGTGTGTGTGTGTGTGTGTTTATGTGTGCGTGTGTTTATGTGTGCGTGTGTATGTGTGTGTGTATCTGTGTGTGTGTGTATCTGTGTGCGTGCGTGCGTGTGTGTACCTGTGTGTGGTTGTGTGCGTCTGTGCCTGTGTGTTTGGTTGTGTGTGTGTGGTTGTGTCTGTCTGTGCGTGTCTGTCTATGCACCGGAAAATGGACCAGGCCCACGACCTGTAGAAGTATAATCAAGAGGCAGCGCCCAGCCATTCATTCATTCTCGCGTGAGCCACCCGGAAGCGTTGTCACAGCGACTTGTGCAACGAGGTCTGCAGTGGCCCCGGAGGACGCAGTGTGTGACTGTGTAAGTGACAGTGCTCTGCGTTTTTACTGAGTGTTTTCACTGTGCGCTGAATGTCCCCGCACACTATGTGTCTGTGCACTGTGCCGCTGTGGAGGTGTGTACGTCACTTTGCACTGTGTCACTGTGTACGGGTCACCGTGTATCAGTGTTTGTGTATCACAGTGTTCGTGTGCGTGTCACACCGTGACTGTGTGTCCCCGTGCATGTCACATTGTGACTGTGTCACCGGGCATCTGTGTGAGTCACAATATTCGTCTGTGTGTTTTCGCCGCGCACCGAGTGTTACCACGCACTACGTGCCTATGCCTTGTGTCGCAGTCTGTGTCTGATTGTCCAATCTGTCTGACTGCCTAGTCTGTCTGCCTGTTCGTCCGATCCGTCCGTCGATGTCTGTTTGTTTGTTGATGTATGTCCGTTTAATTGCGTTCTGTTTGTCTGACTGTTGCAAGAAAAAAAATGATCAATAGCGAATCCCTGAGTCAAGCAGCATCATACATATGAAACCAAGTAGTCTTGCTTTTGAACCAAAAGCAGGATTGCAACACGAGCTTTCAGCAATTAAGAAGACACTATGAGCTTCTAATTGACAATGCTTAGCATAGTCTGATCATTACGTATGCAGAATCAATGCCCGTATCCTACCTGTGATCGATGCCCATGGATAGGTCCTACCTATCGTGCTATCACCATGCCACACGTTTGTTCGTACAAAAAACAGGGACGGAGGTAAGTTTATTTCTCAAGTAATAAGGCCAAATATAATAATAATAATAATAATAATAATAATAATAATAATAATAATAATAATAATAATAATAATAATAATAATAAAATTAATAATAATAATAATAATAATAATAATAATAATAATAATAATAATAATAATATAACAATGATAATAATAATAAATGAAAGAGAAATAAGCAACAGGGCAAAGGTGCATGCAGGCCTTAAACACTTTTGGGACCACTTTCAGGCCTCTGTCTTTATGTGTTTGTCAATGTGTCTGTGTTTGTGTGTGTGGCCATCTGTGTGTGTGCGGCTGTGTGTGTCTGTCTGTGTGTCTGTGCACCTGTGTGTGCATGTGTGTGTGTGTGTCTGTGTCTGTGTGTATCTGTGTGTGTGTGCGTGTGTGTGTGTGTATCTCTGTGTGTGTATATGTGTGCGTGCGTATGTGTGTGTACCTGTGCTTGGTTATGTGCGTCTGTGCCTGTGTGTTTGGTTGTGTGTTTGTGGTTGTGTCTGTCTGTGCGTGTCTAACTGTGTCCTTCTGTGCGTGTGTCTGTGTGTAAACTCGACTGGCACAGACGAAAGTGATTATAGACCTATAACAGTTATGGGGAATGTTACTTTGTGTGTGTGTGCTTGTGTTAGTCTGTGCCAGTGTACATACTCAAAGACACACACACGGAAATAAGCACAAACACACAAAAACACGTGCTCATGAAAACACGAGCACGGGCTGAGTCTGTGTTCGTATGTGGTACACAAAAAACATACAAATACGGACGCGGACTGTGTCAGTGTGTCCGTATGTGTCTGTGTGCGTGTGTTGTTGAATGTGTCTGTGTGTGTATATGTCTGTGTCCGTGTCCATGTGCGTGTCTATGTGCGTGTGTCGTTGTGTGTGTCTGTGTCCGTGTGTCTGTGTGTGTCTAACTGTGCCCTTGTGTGCGTCTGTTTGTCTGTTAACTCGACTGACACAAACGAAAATAATTAAAGGCCTTTAGTGATTATAGGCCTATAACACTGTTTTGTTAGCCCGAGACACAAACGAGATGGTTATGAGAAACAACCTTTAGAATAAAAAATAGAGGGTTTTCAAAATTATCCTTTAGAAAAAAAGAAAAGTCCGACTGAAGAACTAAACCAAATCCGACAAAAGAAGTAAACCAGAGATGGTCCACTAAGTCACTCCACGTGCAAACTAAAGTACCACAATGCACCGAAAACTGCCACACATGTGGCGAGTGCCCCTGGGTGGACCTCCCTAGGCCTCGTTCAAAGTAATGATGAAACTCTCAAAATTGTCAACGGAACACATGGTTACCAGTACAACGGAACACATGGTTCCTAGTACAACGGAACACATGGTTCCCAATAATGATGACACTCTCAAAATTGTCGACCTATTGCGGTCTGACCCACCCAGTGCGCCTGGTTCCCACTTCCACGACCTAAAAGGGAAAGAGCTAGCCTACTCTACGCAACAACAATTCTGCAAAAAAACGAAACCATGTGCCCTCGTTCCTCTAAATGGCTACAATACACAGCGGAACACATGGTTCCCACTTCCACGACCTAAAAAACAGAACGCTAGCCTACTCTGCACAATAACAATTCTGCGAAAAATGAAGCCATGTGCCAAACCACAAAGCTCCAACCACGAAGGGACGACAACCAATCCTGGGAGAGGCATCCAGGAAAAGCAGCACACATTCCGACAACGCAGGGGCAGCGATCAATCCCGGGAGGGATGCGGACAAAGCAACACACAGCAGGGGAGTCTCGTGTACGAATACGACTTGGTTTCTCTCCTCGCACCAATTGCGAGAGGCGCAATCCTTGCTACATGGATCGTTGTCGATCCTGCTTCGGCTCTTTAACCGGAACGCACCAAGCAAATCGTTATTCGATATCAACGAATGGCAACTCCAAGACCACAAACCACAGGAATCCACACAGGAGACTCGTGAACGAATAAAGCTTGGTTTCTCCTCTCGCACCAATTGCGAGATGTGGAATCCTTGCTACATGGATCGTTGTCGATCCTGCTTCGGCTCTTTGACCGGAATGTACCAAGCAAATCATTATTCGTCGCAAAAAAAGGGCAGTTCCTGGACCTTTTGTCATTGTCGCGGACGATCCTTGGTTTGAGGCTACTCATGGTGAAAAGAACAAGCGGAATGAGAAGAAGCGACCGAGACGGGAGAGTCGGCAGAACACGAAAGCGACTTGAAGCCACACATGCAATATAGGCCTATATGTAAAATGCTTGTCCACACATGCAATGTAGGCCTAAATTGCATGTGTAGTTTGAGGCCACACATGCAATAAAGGCCTATATCGAAAGTGCGTGTCCCCACATGACATATAGGCCTATATCCAAAGGATATGGTGTGGCCTCAGTCACTTCGCAGTCCGTGGGCGAGTATTGGCCTTGAGGCCAATCGGTACCCCACCATGCGGACTCGACACATCTTCACCACCTGCCTTTCGTTTGCGCCCCTTCCTGCCGCCAGCTGTGGTCCTGCTCGATTCCTGGCTCATGGCGAGGCTCAAGACACTCTGCTGAGCATTTGCAGCGGCGGGAACAGGCCCGGACGTAGGTTGCGGCTCAGCCTCTGGTCTAGCTTCAGGAACAACGGTGGGCTCAGGCATGGAAGCAGGCACGGGTCTACCCTCACCGGGAAGAGACACAACGAAAGCGGGCTCAGCACCGGTAACAGTTTGCTCCACACCGGACGGGTCGGCAGCAGCCTCGGCAGTGGGCAAACTCGCACCTGATGGCCCGATAGCGACAGCCTCAGCGTTGTCCGCCACTCCAGCAGCATTGCCCGTGTTTTCGTCGGGCACGAGTTCATTTCCGGCAGACTTCGTATCCTCAGACAACTTAGAGGTTGGGCTGCCTTATGCGACCTTTTCTTTCCGCTTTGGCGTTTCGCGTGCAAGTGTGCCGCCGATGTCTGTCAGAAGCCTCATGGCGATGCCCTTAGCGCACTTGGTGTTTATCTCCACCACAAGGCAATTCCGATTTGCCTTGACGCATGTTATGGCGCCTGTGCCGAAATCGGAGAAACCATCCAAAACGCAGGCCCCTGCAGGAGAGAATTTGTTCACAAGCCAGGAGTACAAAGTATACGGCTTCTGGTACGAGCAGAGAACACCGCCACCAGGGTGTTGGTACTTCTGCGTCACAACATTGAAGAGCTGAAAATTGTGACGCATATCAGTGGGATCAAAATTGTGATGCGCCATCTCGCGCTGCCCACTCTCACTGTAGTAGCCCAGCACGCAGAATTCGGTCGCACTCACAAGCCGTGGCCCACCCGGATTCGTCACATTAGGCTTGCACCACGTCAAAAGCTCCTGCCCTGCATTGCAAACCTCCCGGAACGCAGAACGGATGAAAGGAAGCATGTCCACGGAACAGAATCCCGCAACTGTCCACAACGGGGCACTGGAAACGTCCTTCAGATTGTGAAGAACCAACACAACGTCCGACTCCGGAAACGGCTCATTATAAGATGCGTGGCCCTCGTGCGCGAACCCGTAAGGGAAGTCGAAAATAGCCAGAGATATCGGCAGCTTTTCTGTCTGCAGCTTCGACAACAAGCGCATGTCGCCATTGATAATTTTCACTTCCGCCGAGTCGTTATCGTGTGTCACCTCCGTCCACTTGACGAACGGTTCCACGAGAGCTTTCGCACGGAACGCGTGAATAGCGTTCTTCGCTTGCAGTCTCCTCTCCTTGTTCTTCCATTCAATGACCCGTTTAATATGGCCATCCAGTGGGGGGATACTCGTCTGACCCCTTCTGATGCCACCAACGAATTTCTCCAAAATCTCTTTCTTTTTGTGGAGAGGATACTCCTTCTCGGCGTCTTTGAAGTCCCCCCACCCCCACTGCGAATGCCTTGCAGACGTAGGCGATTTTCTTGACAAGTTGGAACTTCTTCTCCATCTCCTTAAGCGAGATCTGCTTCGCAATGACCTCAAGGAGGATAGGGACGCCGTTCTCTGGAGCCATACTACCCATGGCTATCCAGTGTTGCGCTGGCCTGTCCTCGGCGACCATGGGGACCTTGTTACCCTGCAGTTGCACCCGTGGATAAAGAAGCGTCATTGCTTGTTCCTTCGCAGCCGCCATATTAAGCCTCTTCCCACGCTGGCTTTTCTTCGCGCCCTCGGACTCGCTCGGTTCCAGATCCTGGTCCGCTTCCAAGAATCTCCTCGCAGCCGGCTTCAGTTTTTGGCCTTTGACCTCGCCCTTCTGCCACATGCTCATGATCTTACACATGAGCTCCCAAATCTCTTGGGGTTTGAAAGCACACTGCAACAACGGGTCTTGGGCGTTCAATTTTCTCGCCGCGTTCGGAATCCCTGCTTCTTTCTGGCAAGCGAGCTTCACTTCTTGCAACTTGACGCACCCCCTGCTCTCAAAGACTTGGCGCCAGCACCTGAGCTTCTCGATGAAGCTCAAGTCCCTGCGGTAACCCGGCGCAAGGTTATGCCTGTAGGCAACCTGCCTTGCCTCATCGATCGTGAGGCCAATGTAAACATAGCACACATTGTGCTGGTACTCCTCGTTGTCGGCGTTCACACATGCTAACCGCTCCCTCCCTTCCCGACTGTGGCCACCACCAAGCACAAAAATGTCGTAGTCGCCGGCTCTCAGTTTCGTCAAGCTCACGTCTTCTTTTCGCCCGGCTTGGGCAGGGTCGACGAGGCCAACGAAGGGAAGATGATCTCCAGTTGGCTGCTTCAACATGGAGTCCATGATGGACTTCACATGGTCCTCGTCCGGCTCTCTCACCTCCATTGGTCTTTTCCCATTCACCAGGGGTGGCCTCTTCAAACATCTCATCGGCAGGTAAAAGGACTCGTGTGAAAGTTTCTTCTCCTGCAAACTCTTCAACTCCTCCCAAGTTTTTGTCAAATCTTCTGTGCGCTCGTTCGGCACGAAACCTTGGGGTACTTGGAGTTCCTCTTCCCTTCCCCTCCCCTTGCCCTTCCGGACGAGGCGGACCCGGTATGACTGTTTTCTTCCCGCGAATCTTCCCAGGAATCGTCTTTGTGCCCGATCCCCTTTCCAGACTACCGGAAGACCCGACAATGGTTTGAGGAGAAATCACATTTTTGGGGCGCTGCGACCTCGCTTTCGAGCCACCCTTCGTGGACGTCGTCGTCGTCATCGGAGTTTGTGATTTTTCTGCTTCCTCTGCATACTTTAAAGGAAGAAGTTTCTCGTCCAAATTTTCCTGTAAGAACTTAGAAAGTCCTTCCACGAACGGTTGCGCAACACATTGGAAGGAGAAGAAAAAACAATGGTCGACCAAGTGTGTCAGAGAAACTTATAGGCCTATAACACATACTTAGAGCAACACTGCGTACGGCAAATGCAATAGAACAACGCAAATGTGAAAAAGCATTACAGGCCTGCAACCTCAAAGAGTCAAACTTTTGGAAACGGGGAGGACGCAGTCAATGTTATAGGCCTATAACTTCCCAGGAACAAGGAAGACTTATTGGAAGTTACAGGCCTACAACTGTTGGAATTAACATGGAGGTCATAAGACCTATAACTTTCGGAAAGGCCATGGAGGTTCAGGCTTGTAACTTTCACGGCGTATCCGGTAGTTATAGACCTATAACTTCCACGACGTTACCGGTAGTTATAGGCCTATAACTTCCACGACGTATCCGGTAGTTGTAGGCCTTTAACTCTCGGATACGCCGTGAAAGTTTTAGGCCTATTCCTTCCGGTTACGCCTTCAAAGAAACGGAATGAAACTTGCAGCTCTGCAACTTCCTGCGAAGAGAGACATGCGGTGGGAATTAGGGGAGATGAGAGCATTTACCATGCAACCAGTCTTGTTTAATGCCAACAACTTCTTGTTTTAGATGGTCATCTTCATGGGCATTAATTTATCCCCCTTCAACAGACATTTAGTGAGTTTGCCCTTGATTACGCCTCACAACTCCGCGATGAGATATTTTTCAGTCACGTGCGCTGCAAATAAAATTTTGCCGATTCGTGCATAGACACCGTTGCCGCTGGTCTTGACGTGAAGATAAGCTTATCCAGCTGTGACGTACACGGCCCAAAAAAAGTACATGACGTCGTTGCGAATGGGCCTCGACTCGAGGAACTCTCTCTGCCAGTTGCCATCCTCCTCCATTGGATCTTCTTCCTCGTCCTCATCCTCTTCCTCTTCTTCTTCTTCTTCTTCTTCTCTTCTTCTTCTTCTTCTTCTTCTTCTTCTTCTTCTTCTTCTTCTTCTTCTTCTTCTTCTCCTTTCTTTTCTTCTTCTTCTTCTTCTTCTACTCCTTCCTCTTCCTCTGTCTCTCCCTCTCCTTCCTCTTCCTCTCCTACGCCTTCTCCTGCCACGAACTCTCCGTCTTCTAAAACATATTCATCCTCATCTCCTTCTCCCATTTGGGGAAAATCATCCTGCTCCGGTGGCCGCCTTTGCTGCACAACCCCTTCGGAGCACGCCGACTGTCCCTGAGAAGACACTGTGCCGGTTTTTCTTGCACTCCTCCCCTTGCTTGCACCCCTCGCGCCTCGGGATGTCTTCATTGTCACGAATGGACTGCACGCAAAGAGCCATCCAAAACAAATGTTAACCTCGGTAAGACTGGTTACACGGCCCTAGCACCCCAACTTGTTTTGCCCGTGTGTCTTTGTGCGCGTGTGTGTCTGTGTGTGTCTGTGTTTGTCTCCCTGTGCCCGTGTGTGTCTGTGTGTGTTGCTCTTCGTGTGTGTGTGTGTATCTGTGTGTGCGTCTGTGCCTGTGTGTGCGTCATTGTTTGTGTCTGTGTGTGCCTCTGTATGTGTGGCAGGCAAGTCAAAGGTGCTTGTCGGCCATAAGCACGTTTTGGACCACTTCCAGGCCTTTGTTTTCATGTGTGTCTGTGTGTCTCTGTTTGTGTGTATGGCTGTCTTTGCGTGTGTGCATATGTGTCTGTGTGCCTCTATGTGTGTGGCAAGCGTGTGTTTGCGTGTGTGTGTGTGTGCGTGTCTGTGTGGTCTTGTGTGTCTGGTTGTGTGCGTCTTTATACGTCTTTATGTCTTTATGTCTGTGTGTGTCTGTGTGCGTCTGGGGTAATTGGTTGACAATACAAACCTGTGTCTTTAGGCGAGAGTGATTTAATGCCTGTGTTGGTTCTGGGGAAACTTTTTGACAATACAAGCCTGTTCTTGTGTTCGTGTGTGTGTCTCTGTGCCTGTATTTTTGTGTGTGTGTCTGTGTGTGTCTCTGTTTGTGTGTGTGTGTGTGGCTATGTCTAAATGTCTGTGTGCCTGTGTTCTTGTGGGCATGCCTGTGAGTGTATGTTTGTGCCTTTGTGTGTGTGTGTGCATGTCTGTCTGTGTGTGTCCAACTGTGTCCTTGTGTGTGTCTGTCTGCGTGTGAACTCGGCTGCCACAGACGAAAGTGGTTAAAGGCCTACAACAGTTCTGCGAATGTCCTTGCGTTAGTCTGATCCACTGTGCACAGACAGACACAGGCACGGAAACAGACACAAAAAGACAGACGCACACAGACACAGGCTGTGTCTGTGTTCGTGTGCTGTGCACAAAAAGACATACGGACACAGACACGGATTGTGCGTGTCTTTGTCGTTGTGTGTGTCGGTATGCGTGTATCTGTGTGTGTCTAACTGTGTCCTTGTGTGTGTGTGTCTGTGTGCCTGTGTTTTGTGTATGTGTCTACCAGTGATTAAAGGCCTGTGATTTTCTTGGGAAAACTTATCAGCACCTTAAGCCTGTGTTTTTGTGTGTGTGTCTGTGTGTGTGTCTGTGTGTGTGTCTGTGTGTGTGTCTGTGTGTGTCTCTGTTTGTGTGTGTGTGTGTCTCTGTCTGAATGCCTGCGTATGTCTGTGGGCCTGTGTTCTTGTGTGCGTGCCTGTGAGTGTATGTTTGTGCCTGTGTCTGTGTGCGGCCTCGAGCACAAAAATATGCGAAGGTGCTTGTAGGCCTTAAACACTTTTGGGACCGCTATCAGGCCTCTATCTTTATGTGTGTCTGTGTGTCTGCTTGTCTGTGTGTCTGTGTTTGTGTGTGTGGCTGTCTGTGTGTGTGTGTGTGTCTGTGTGTGCGTGTACCTGTGTTTGCATGTGTGTGTGTGCGTGTGTGTCTGTGTGTGTATCTGTGTGTTCTTGTGTCGGGTTGTGTGCGCCTGTGCCTGTGTGTGTTTGGTTGTGTTTGTGGTTGTGTCTGTTTGTGTGTGTCTAACTGTGTCCGTCTAACTGTGTC